TTCCTGCAGCTTGTCAAGGTTGAGTTAAGCATGCTGAGATGTTCTGGGATAGGTGCATTGACAAAGAATTAGGCTTAAGGTAAATGTTATCCCTACATATCATTTTTCTTTACGTAGTTCGTCCAAAATAAAAAATCATTTTGTCCTAAAAGTTTATTTCATTTGTTTTCTGGCACTATCCGCCTTTTTTTCTGTTGTCGTTAATTTTTTCGCGTGTATGTCGGTGTCGGTGTCATCATTCGTTAATTTTTTGGGCTATCGATGTCGGTGTCGGTGTCGGTATCGGTGTCGATGTCGGTGTCGGTGTCGGTGTCATCATTCGTTAATTTTTTGGGCTATCGATGTCGGTGCGGTGTCGGTATCGGTGTCGATGTCGGTGTCGGTGTCGGTATCGGTGTCGGTGTCGGTGTCGGTGTCGTCATCATTCGTTAATTTTTTGGGCTATCGATGTCGATGTCGATGTCGTTATTGTCGGTGCTACTTTTTTTCATTCAAACAAATGGCTGCGGTAGAGGAGGAAGATATAAATAATTTATATCTGCCTTTCGAAATGAGACCTGGGACAGATCTTACTAGCAAACTTATCCTAAACAACAAAACCGTTATAAATATTATTGTTCATCATTTGCTTGGTAAGTGTGTTTTTTTTTTACCCACGAAACGGAACTTAACACATTTACTTTTCATAGGGATAAATATTCCTAATAATGCATATCTTTCTGGTTCAACGGAATGGGCAGATGGTAAAAGATCAGATGCCTTATATATACCAAGAAATGGAGTGACACATGATCTACCACCCATCTTAATTGAAGTTCAGAATTGCATTGACCAACTATTTATGATAAGGCTAATTAACTATTGCGCTCATGTGTATGAACGTTATGAAGTATTGCCTGTAGTGCTTGTCTTTGTAGTAAAAAAGTTCTCCAATACCACATTCGAGGAAAAATTCGTTAAGAAAGCCAATGTTCCATATATACTAGAAACCCAGTGTGAATTTTGGGCGAAGTCAACTAATTTCGTTTCAGCCAAGTCAATTGAAAATTTTGCTCAAGACTCCATGGATCCGTTTGTAGCGCTTGCCTATTTTACCATATCACAGACGCAAGACTTGAAATCGCTAACGTTTGCTGCTGATATGACGGTACGCTTTCTGTACTCTATATGCCAAAAAAACATGAAGAAAAAAAACAAGAGTGAACTAGATCAGGTTTTTGATCAAGCTACAAACCAAATGCAAAAAATAGTTGAACTACAAGATGAAGATCCTATTCTGATGCTGGAAAAGAGCAAAAAAATTGCCAAAGAGTTTCTAGAAACCATTCAAGGCCAGAAAAGAAAGTTAAATGAAGAATATGAACTAGATCTACAAGCCTCACAGGAACAACAGCAAAAATACACAAGAGAGGACTTTCTTTTTATCGAAAGCATGTCGGAACCAAACAAGCCAAAAAGCTGGAGAAAGATTTTCAATGCAGGAAAAGCCAAAGGGTTATTTAACTCTTATACCTCAGCAAATTCGTTAAAAAGCTCTTATCACCATGCCGTTAAACGTGCCAAGAAACAAAAATAATTTTTATTTATTTTCAAATAAAGTCTTTTTTTATTATTGCCTGGCTAAGCAAATTAATAGTTTGATTTTCTACATCGGAAGAAAAG